GCTTTACTGGATTATTATATGTTTGAGATTCGATTGGCTTATGATATTAGAGTTCTTATTTGTCATTTCAGTTCTTTATTTGTATTGTGAATTTTATCATCATCGTAATAAATCAAATTTTCTTTTAGACATATCTAAATCATGTTATATTTGAGAGAGGTACAATCTTGACTTTCTTTCGAATTAGTCATAGGTACTATGAATCAACATTAACAACTATGCAGCCCAAATCTATAAACAATGTAAAACATTGGGGTGAGACTGAAAAGAAAATAAAAAAAAATCCGCAAGAGTATATAAATACAGAGAAACCCTAGAAACTCAAAACTCCAAAAAGCTTGAGACAGAGAGAGCAACAATGGTGAAAGTCTTAAAGCCAGGAAAAGCTGTGATACTCTTACAAGGACGATACGCCGGTAAAAAAGCTGTGATCGTGAAATCCTTCGACGACGTTAACCGCGAGAAAACGTACGGTCACTGCCTCGTCGCCGGATTGAAGAAATACCCAAGCAAAGTGATCCACAAAGATTCGGCGAAGAATTCGCGAGTCAAATGCTTCCTCAAGCTCATCAATTACCAACACTTGATGCCTACGCGTTACTCTCTGGATTTGGACCTCAAAGATGTCGTAACCGGAGAATCGATCTCGTCCAAAGATAAGAAAGTGACGGCTCTTAAAGAAGCGAAGACGAAGTTCGAAGAAAGGTTTAAATCTGGGAAGAACAAATGGTTCTTCACCAAGCTTAGGTTTTGAATTTTGATGGTTAAAGTTCCAATCTTTCATTAAATTGGTGTTCTCTGTTTTTTTTTTTTGTTAGATGTTAGATATATTGATTTGATTTGATATTCTATTTAATGAAACAACAATTTGTTTTTTTGTTTTTTGAATTGAAACAATTTGTAAGAAATGATACAACAGAATCTAAAAAATTCAATGTGGTTTTTTGGACCTTTTTGCGCATAACCATTGTCTTGATGTTTGGAGATCATCTTCAACACTCATTGGAACATGCCATGTTCCATCTTCAGACTCCTGCATCAATTCATCAACCATTATGTAAAATGCAGACAAAACTTTTGTATATTTTGAGTTTGTGTAGAGTAGAATTTAACCTGTATAACAATGGAGTATGGAGGTGGCATGTGAAGTGTGAGTCCATCTTCTCTAGTCACAGATATCCGAACCTGCAACATTTTGAAGCCAGATTATATATACACATGCATATATTCATGTGAATTCACAGATTTTAGTGTTGTGTATATATATACCTGATGCTTCTCTTTCCACCTTGGGAAAAAGCTGTTTCCTAGTAATTGAAAGAGATGGTCTCTCATTTCGTCGTTTGTCACCAATAAGCACTTGCAACTTACAGCGGCGTAAAGCCAATACCTGAAAACCGAGTTTTTTTTTTCAGCAACAAATTGATTTTCACAGAACCAATGGATCATTGCATAAACTATAGAGAAAGAAAGCAAATACCAATCATCGTTTGAGCCAGGAGGAGTAGCATAGAGAGCACCGGCGTTTTTCCATTTCTCTAGCAAGGCTTTGTTTTTAGGGTAAGTAGCTGGACCTCCGTTTACACGACTCCTGTGTAGAATCACAAGTGGTAACCTTTTCGATGGACTAATTTGTTGACATCTTTGGACCACATTGTTAAGCTAGAGCAAGAGATGGAATCACATAAGTTAAAAGTATACAAGCAAGGATCTTGAGATTGCCATTAGAATGATCTCAAGATCACCTGAAAGAAGCTGAAATTGCGCTGTTTGGCTAAGCCTATGTTGGCTCCGTCTATGACTGCATCAAACGGTCCATGTCTTTCCAGCCATTCCTGCGACAAAACCGAATTAAAAAACCAAATCTTTTACAGCTTTGCCTAAGATAGTTTTACTACAATTCTCAAGACAATAATTGTTACCTGAAACTGATTAAAACTAGCTTTGACTTCTCTTTCACAGGCCAATCGGGTCAGCGATGCAGCAAAGTTTTCTGTCTCCATTGGATTGATATCGATACAAACAAGCTTTTCTTTGCAACATTTACAGACACCATTCTCATCCATCTCTGTTTTTGTCACATTCCATTTGCCAGTCCCAAGCCAACCCTGTCCATGCCAACCACCACCACCACTCACAACCGAGTCCCTTATTTTCTTCACATCCCATTTCTTAACTCCAGCTTTTGCAGCTGCTTCAGATTGAAACCACTCCTCGATCGTATCAAAAGTCGATTTAGAAACCTGTCTCACCAAATCTCTCAATCGCTGCAATGTCTCATAGACCTTGTCTGCGTTCTTTGTATCCATACTAACTTTCAAGAGAGCAGCAAGCTCAGGCTCTTCAGGGACCACCTCTGATTCAACCATATGCGTATCGACTTCATACGCTTTGTCTGCATCACCTTTCCTACAGAAACCAAAAAGGGCTGGTCCATAGGATCTCAGCCTTGGTTGAATACCAAAGGCTTTCATCTGTTTCACCATATCGAAAGCCATTTCCGGGTCGTCCTTTGCAACTGCGAGTCTAGCGCCGTTTGTGAATGTAGCCTCATTAGGAACTACTTTGTCAACAATCATCTGCTTAAATATATCAAAACCCCTACTAAGTCCAGGATTCGGAGAAGCCTCTGTTCCTGCCTCAACCAACGAGCATACATAGAGCAACACATTATAATGGTACTGGCTGAGCTGCACACCATTTCGTTTCGCCTCATCATACAAGCGAAGGGCTTCCCCGACATCTCCATTTCTGGAACACATATCTAGCTTTTGTTTCAGCACTGCTTCAGGAGACTGTTGAATAGCTTTCTTCTTTGCTCTCCTCGATATGTTTTCAGAAGGCGAAGGAGCTGATTGTTTAGCAGCAGCGAGTGGCATGTTACATAGATGCCTGCTACGCTCAACAAGACTAAATCGCCTATCTCGGGTACCTTTGACAGGTAAGGAAGTATGGTAGCCACGAAATGGAGAAAGGCGAGGACACGGACGAAGAGCAGATGGGATTCTGAGAATCAGTACAAATAAAGGGCAACAAGCCCGAGAAAGGGAAGGAGTAAAACAAGTTGCACGCAGCATAACTCTTAAGCTGTTGAAAAAAAAATTAATTTTCAATCCAAATCATCTGCAAGAGACAGGAAAACATATCCATGAATTAGAAACACCAAACGAAGTTCCAAAACTGAATTGTCTGCACTTCATCTTAGTTCAAAACATATCTAGAAAAAGCTTCAATAGCAATCAGAAATCAAAGATAATGGTTATTGACGGCTCATTACAATCTATCCATAACATAGTCAAAGAACCAAAATTTAGAAAATGGGTATGTACGAAATGTGAGCTAGGAGTCTAGAAGGGAGTGGAACTATAGAGAAACAACGGAATAGTTCAGTGGGTAATATCGTCGAACATGTTGAAGGCAACTCATAAGAATTTCAGAGAAATAACTTACTTCGCGGCAGAGAGAAACTGTCTTTGTGATGTGAAAAGATAAAAAAGATGACGACTTTGGTCGAACCAGCCTCTCCACTTTCAGGATTCACCATGGATTAGCCCCAAGGTTAGCAGATTGAAGATAAAAGAGTCAGCCGTGGAGTTGAATTTTTGGACGCTACTTCTAACGACGTCGTTTTTGGAACACGTTTTTAGTTTATTACTATCAAATGATTTACACTTAAGGCAGCATCATTATCAATGATACTCATGAGTATCAAAAGATTAAAAAATAATTAAAAACTTAATTTTTATTAACTTTTGCTCTAATCGTCTCAATAGGGAGAGACTTGTGAGACTATTAGAGGACCAAAACCAAAAATTAAAAAAAAAATCATTTTTCTTCTTTTTTAATAAACTCTTCTTCTTCGTTTACACCAAAAAAAACTCTTCTTCTTATACTGGTTCGAAGATTTTCCGATCTCGGTTCCTATATCCGATTCGGCTCCGGGATTATTGTTCTTTGGATCTGGAGAATCAGACGGTTTTATGATCGGAACGTCGAATTTATTACCCGATTCACGGTGGTGGTTCTCTTTCGTCTCCGCGATTTTGTCTAGATCTGAATCTTTTAAGCTTTTCTCTCTCTCTCATCTTCCAATCTTTTCACCTTCGATTGCAACGATCCGTGTAGACGAAAGTTCAAAAACCAAACAAAATGCAAATCTGGAATCGAGAAACACAAAAGAATTTTAAAAAATCTCACCAATGGACACATAAATTTTAGGCAAAGATTAGTGAGTCTCACTCATTAAATTTATTAATAAACTTTAGTTTAAGAAATCTGAAGAGTATCATTGATAATGATGCTCTAAGGGTTTTAAACGAAAACATTTTCTAATCCCTGTGAGGTTACACTTAAGGCCTTAATGAATTCCTAAAAAATTATGAAGAATATTGTATGTTCAGTCTCGACCAGTGTATATAATACAGTAAGGAAATCAACAAAATATTATATGTCTGTTTACAAGTATAGCTAGTAATTACTGTAAACGCAAACCCAGAAAAAGAAAACAAGCAATGGACTTTATTGATTGTTTCCTTTTTCTTGGTTTGCGTTTGAACTCTTCCTTAATCCTCAAAACGTAACAATTTCATTTGCTAATCTCTCGTAAATTGTCTTCATAAACTTCTCTATATTTCAACGCA